AAACATGATGTACAAAGGACGTTTCTTTCATTCGGCAGTTTCTATGAAGTACGAAAGTGATAATGTGTTGAATGTTGCACGTTGTACGTCTCTCTCTCTCTCTCTCTCTCTCTCTCTCTCTCTCGCTCTCTCTCTCTCTCTCTCTCTCTCTCTCTCTCTCTCTCTCTCTCTCTCTATATATATATATATATATATATATATATATATATATATATATATATATATATACACATATATATATATATATATATATATATATATATATATATATATATATATATATATATATATATATATATATATATATATATATATATGTGTGTGTGTATGTGTGTGTGTGTGTGCATGTACACATAGGATATACATCATCCCCTATCGGAATCCGTATGCCTAGCCCTCCATTTATTTATTATCATACACACCCACATGCACATCCACGGTGAGTGCGTGCGCGTTGGTGTGGGTCTCTGCGTGCGGGCATGGGTGCACGTGCTCCAACTTGTCAGCATTAACATTAACACTATTCCTACACGTATGCATTTGTCGGTCTATTCTGCTTATAATGAAACAAAAAATGTCTTTGAGGGACCCGCGACCGCACTGCTTTCCACGTTCCTTAAAGAGTGTTCTGAAAAGTCCCCGCATTTTCATGCCTGTTCCCCCGCTCCTTGGAGGATGACGGAACAGAACTTACCTTGAGAATTACGATGAAGACGAAGACGAAGAAATTGAAAAAGGAATAGGAATAAGGAGAAGGGTAAGAAGAAAGCGAAAATAATATTAGAGAAGACGAAAGGAAATAGGAGGAGGAGGAGGATATTACGAGACGAGAACGGGGAGGAGGAGTGGGAGGAAGGAGGGAGGGAGAAGAAGAAGGGGAAAGCAGGACGAGAGGGAGGAATGAGGGAAGGGGAGGAGGAGGAGGAGAGGGAGGAATGAGGGAGGGAGAGGAGGAGGAGGAGGAAGAAAAAGGTGAAGAAGAAGGAGAAGGAAAAAAAGGAGAAAGAGAAGGAGTAGGAGAAGGAGGAAGAGGGAGGAGGAGGGGGAGGAGGAGGAGACGGGGGAGGAGGAGGAGGAGGAAGAGGAAATGGGGGAGGAGTGGGGGAGACAGGAGGAGGAAGAGGAGGAGGAATAGGAGGAGGAAAGGGAAAGGGGGAGGAGGAGGAGCAGAGGAACACTAACAAGAAACGGGTGAAATTAATAAAAACAGCAGAAAAAAAATGAAAAGAAAGAGAAAATCCGAGCGCCTGGCGGGGGACAAGACGCGGCAGATTTCATCGCAGCTTCACACTCAACTATTATACCTCCCCCTCCCCCCCCTCCCCTCCCTCTCCCGTCATTCCTTTAGAACTTCACTGATGAAGGTGTCCACCTCCCCCCCCTCTTCATATCCAACGCATATTGACTTGATGATGAAAGTGGTAACAAAAGTGTCGAGCATCGACTGATGGTGACAAGCGGGGACCGAATACGACTGACACTGACTGACCGTGATTACCATTGACTGGCTTAGACTGATCACACAATTCCTGACAGCGACTGACACACCAGGACTGACGCCCGCTGAGCCTCAAAATCCTAGCGACGCTTTTTTCCCTCTCGAAGCTCCAAAGGACTGGCAACTCGAGGGAAAGCCTTCTGCCTCTCTCTCTCTCTCTCTCTCTCTCTCTCTCTCTCTCTCTCTCTCTCTCTCTCTCTTCCCCCCCTTTCTCTCTCTCTCTCTCTCTCTCTCTCTCTCTCTCTCTCTCTCTCTCTCTCCCTCTGCATTTATACATATACGTCTATCTATCCCCCTTCTCTCCCCCCTCCCTCTCCACCTCCCCCCTTCCCACCCCCTGTGAGAAACCGACCAGACAACACCTGCGCCTCGTGAGTGAGGGGGGGGAGGGGGAGGGGGAGGGATGTTGGTCCTTATCGCCTGATTGAGACATTACAAGGAGGGCTCACATGATCCCATGTGGAGGGTGGGGAGGGCACAGGAAGAGGGAGAGAGGGAGAGGGGGGAAAGAGGGGGTGGCGTAGGGGAGGGAGGGAGGGAGGGAGGGAGGGAGAGGGAGATGGAGAGGGAGAGAGAGAGAGAGAGAGAGAGAGAGAGAGAGAGAGAGAGAGAGAGAGAGAGAGAGAGAGAGAGAAAGAGAGAGAAGTCGGAGACGCCAAGATACAGGCAAGTCAACAACCAAAGCGTAGACGGGACGAGAGACGAAGAGAGGAGGCACGCTGAAGGGAAGGCCAAGACCCGAGGCTCGACTGCCTTCCTGTCGGCTTTGGGCGACGCTCGGCGCTTTTCACCGTCCCTTAATGCGTCGGGTTTACCGTGTCTACTTTAATGTGTCTTTTATATATGCATCATTCTATTCTTCTTTTCTAGCAATACCAATAACAAGATAAGACTAAATACGCAAGTTACAGCTAGTAATAATACCAACAACAACAACAACAATAATAATAACAATAATAATAATATTAAATATTATCACTATCATCATAAAATAACAATAAC